CAGATATGATTTACTTCTATAACAGCTTGCACGACCGCAAAACTGTCTATGAAAGCACAAAGAATAAGATTAGCAACACCGGAATTTGACTTTATGGATGCTCATAAAGTTTCCCATTATTTACTCCGGCTTTGTACTGTGGGCAATGGGGCAATTATCCCATTAGTTTTTGTCTAAGGCGAAAGTTTGTGTGTGTAAGGATGCTTCCAGTGACTCAATTACGTTCGCGTATATGCATTCGCCCTTCAGAAACATACTTGAACAGACTTCTGTGGAATACATACAATAAGAAACACTCCAAGTTTCCTATCCTATTTTCACCCAGTTCGTGATCAGAAGGTGGGATTAATTCGCCCGAGAATCGTGGTGCTGGTGAGTATACCACCTCTGAAATGGTACAGCACGTGAGGATGCTTTACGTAGCGTAAGGGAGCGTCAGTACATCATTTGTTTATGTGATTTGAGTGATCAGTGATGACTCGAAAAAGTACAGCCATGTAGAATTTTTGATAGCCGATTTTGGCAGGTGGCTGATTTGCACCCGCGCAAGTAGACTAGTGTTTAAATTTAGATTTTTAGATTTAATGATTCAGAAGCCAGCAATATAAGCTAATCCTTTTCTAGTAACTTTATGTGCCTATCTAAACCTTTATTGAGTGAGTCATTCGACAGCGCTGACACCACTTCTTCTGCGTGTCGGTTCCAAGAAATTACAACTCGGCGTGAGAATCAGTACTTTATAGAGATACAGTGCCCATTTGGCTTTTGAAGTCCCTTGCTATGACGTCTGATATACTTCGGGGTGAAGAGAAAATAGAGCTGGCCCGTGTTAGTTGTTTATAATTTCATACATTAGTAGGAGGTATCTCCTCTGCTTACAGTATGACAGTCAACAGGATTCAGACTGTTTAGGTTTTCATCGTGGACTAAATTGGTCATGCCAAGAACCATGTATTGCCTTCATTCTAACCTCATCTAGAATATAGACAAGGATTAACTATGTCGATGCAATTTTCCAGTCTTAACCTCGTCAGAGACGTAAATAAAAGAGCGTATATATCACTGGTGATTTAATTAAACGCTCAGCCTATTGCCAACAAAGCTATATAACTTCCAGTTGCTATTACACTATAGTGAGGTGTCAATTTTAAGTCTTGACCTATTACGATACCTAGATCCGTATGAGTCTTAGGTGACGAGTATTATTCTATGAGCTGGAGCTCGAGTGTCTGATGAGAACGGCTGAGCACTTTGCCATGTTGACCGTAGGCATTCATTTTTTGGATCAGCCTGACAGTTTACTGAGGTTTCCTTGCGATATTACCATGTCATTATCGTGCTCAATCTTCCCCCCAATCTTTAGGTCATCCGCGTAAAGAACCGTTACAGATCCGGTGAGCTCAGGCAATCTACTGATACACAAGATAAATAAGGGAGGGCTGAGTACGGGGGCGTGTGACGCTTCACCATGTATAGCTGTACAAGAGAAGAATTTTGAGCTGATCCTAACTGTCTTTCTCCTACTCACGGAGAATCCCCTAATCAAATTCAGTAAGCCGTACTTGACTCCAAGTTTCTGATCTCATAAGTAGTCTTGTGTCAGTTACTTTGCGGAAAGCTTATCCGAAGTCTTTAAAGACGACACCGAGGGCTTTTCTTTTGCCCTTCGACTCGATCCAACTTTCTCCTGCAGTAAGAATGTTTTTCGGGAATGACGAAGACATGCTTTACTCTGGACAACAAATTGTTGTTTCCCAGGTACTCTATGCTATCTTTCTTGAAAAATCATATATCTTGACTGAGGTGTGATTGAGACTAATGGGCCCGTAGTTTTGAAGGACACAGTTTTGATCCCCCTCTGTGGATGGGAGTTATTGTGGCGTCTTTCCAGTCACGTGGCAACATTCCATTAAGTGGAGACGGCTTGAGGTCCGTTTTCAGAGGGTCCGTTACGTGAGTTGTCCTCTGTTTAACAAGCTTCAACCGAAGGTCATCGGGTCCCATTGAGATTGGAATAAGATGTTTTGGTTGGCATCGACAAAATCAATCCTGCATTCCTTCTGAGTTGCCGGAGCTGGTGCTGCCAAAAGCCGCGAACCTTCTGTGAAGACCTAAGAGAAGTAGCTTCAAACTGTCTTAGAGTTTTTTGGTCCTCTTAGATTGCATAATTTTAAGTAGTCAGGTTTATGACGCTGTTGAATGCCTTATTCCTAAGGTCCATGTGCAAAATATTTTCTTCGATTACGCCCTTGCATTTTGAGCAAAATGTGTTTTGAACTTCAACCTCGATTGGCGAATTCTTGTGATAGCCTTGCTCCTGGCTGCTGTGTGAGGCTTTAAAGCCTCAAAAATCCAAAGTGTGATTAAAAAGGTTTCAGAATTTACGCCTACTTATGAGTAATGCACAAACCTCTCGGTTTATCCATGTGAATCTTGACTAACAGATTTTATGACACTCCACCAATAAATATGACCCTACGTTGTCTCTCGGGATTGTCATGTGGTTATTGATTACCTTACTGTTAACCCCTATCACTTGGTATTGACCACGGATGAACATTGTATCTTATATGCATGTGAGTGTAATTCACTGACAATTTTAACCATCGTAGCGATATTGTTTGGCAAGTCTCTGTGCTTCCTCACATGACAGTTATAGCTTGATCCCACACCACATAACTGGTACAAGTATGGAATTTTCAGTATGTAATATCGGTAGCCAAAATTTAGTAGGCCGACCAATTGATATCGGGTGTGCATCGGCTGGGGATCGAGCCTTGAACTATGTGCATGGACGGCGAGAGTCATAACCGCTGTGCCACCGACGCCCTTGCTACCTTTGTGTAATTGTGTTGTTTCCTTTATATTTTGGGAACAGATTAAGTTTCTGTTGAGTCACCTGAATTTTGAATACATAAAGGCCTACAGTCCTTTTCGTCAGTTCTGATTGCGAGGACTAATATCTGCAGGAAGACTAAGTCCTTCGGTCCATGAGTGACAATGTTCTCGACCCATTAGAACAGATCAGGTTACGTAGGGTTGGGTTACCTGGGGATAAAGTCGTCCAAAATGGCTCTCAGCAGCTTTCACGTGAGATTCTGAATCTATTTGCCAGTCGTGTCATCTGGCCGCCGTTGCGATGGAGTTTATGTGTGCTTTTGATACGTTTGTTTAGGTTGCGGTTCGGGAACATGAAAATGTCTTGGCATTAAACTTGAATGGAAGCAAGGCGCGATCACTTCCTCTTAGGGGTGGAATATATAGTATGAGGTCCGCATTCTTCCTGTTGGAAAAAACGAAGTCCGAGGTTGAAGACGAGCGCTGTGAGTCATGGCATGTAGGCTTCTCGATATGTACTCAGGCTGATGAAACAGTAGATTCTAACGGCTTATGGTCAAGTGAATTGTCTGAAGATGGCTTTTGAAGACTCATCCAGTCGACTGTTGGGGCGCTGGAGTCACCGACTACGAGATTCAGATATCTATGAGATTAGTTCCCCAGATGGAAACTCGTCTTCATTGCATTCGGGACTGCGGTATGTAGCAGTGAGGTCAGTCTCTTATCCTTTGCATTTTAAATCTGCAATTCAGAAGTCCGCGAGATCCAGTTTCTTGTGGGAGAAATTCAATGCTGCTGAAGGCCAGGAACTCCCCGGGGAAGATGTCTACCTCTCCCCACTTTGAAGCTCGGTCGGTGTACCTATGAACTGTGAAGCTTGGTAAGTTGAATTCATTGTCGCTGAAATGAAATGTAAGGCATATCCTTGTTACGACAAGGACGTTAGGGTTTTCAGAGCCCACAACACAAACCGGAGCAGCCCATCTGTCAGAAAGACTGCAGGCATTAATGTAGCATACTTCTTCCTCTCTACGGTGCTTCCGTTCATCAACGATACAGGTTTCGGTATCATCAGACTGCGAACTCTAACGTCTTGAAAAGGTTCAATTATGACGTTCTCACCGTTGCGTCACCGTTCATTTAACTCCTGGGCCGCAGACTACCTCGTGATGTGGCTCGATAGACATAAGGCAGGATGGATGTAGATATCTGATATTTTAATAGTTTGGAGTCGCTCAGTATAACATTACTATCAGTTTTAGATTTCAGTAGGACAAAGCACAAAGACTGGTTTTTCTGTAAGGCCAGATATTTAGCCTGTTGTATATAAGCCAGGAATGGTTGTATCGGCCATCGGTGTTGTGCGTTGTCCGTCTAAGTTTGGTTTGACTAGTGTGTAGTGTTCAAGGCTTACATTAGAGTCTGTAGTTACAGATTCTTCCACTCAGTGTAGGATCAGTGACTTGTTGGAGCGATCAAGTGCAGTTGGATTGGTTATGCTGCTTAGACGTGATAGTATCCTCCCATTTTTCAAGGGTAGAACTTATACATTGTTGCTATGCTTCGCCTTTTGAGAGAACATTCTCTGGCGACCTCTCCGCCTTTTGATATTCGATTTAACTGCCTACTCCCCCTGGAAGCATTGATGGCGTTGGGTCTGTGAGTTTAGCTACGAGCGCTGCTGTGGGTTTGCGATCCACGCTTTTTTGGTGGCAGGAGGTGAATTCGAGTTAGTCTCCAGGCCCCGTTTCTTTATGGAAACTGAAGGGCTTCTCAGGGACGCAAGGAACAACGCTACCGGTATGCAGCTAAAATATTCAAGCAGAAAGGATTACCCTCTAGTTACAACTGAAACAAAGTTATTTGAGCGTGTTTGAGAAGCAACATGACTGCAAGCCACTATACCGTATACACAAAGATTAAAACTAACTCAGACACAAGAAGCAGCATATTTGAATTTAAGTAGGTCTTTGAGTACTATTTTAAAGTCAATGACACTGCTATGGTTGTGTTAATGAATTATTACTACCTGAAAGTGTATGGACTCAGTTTGTCCTTGTAAATCTGCCGGCGCCCAAATATCGGCGGTGGCCCTGTCCAGAACACAGCGCGCTTATCTTAAATCTGTCGGTTAGTGTGTGAGAAACGTCCCTCGTTAGAAGATGAAAGAGTCTGGGGATTCGAAGTCCAGTTTTTTTCTAGTAAGGGAGTGAATACTGAACTCATGCCAGATATAATTCACACCATTTTAATTTCAAACACCAACTTTATTTTCCAGCGAACTTTGAGTTATTTACGGACCTCCGCTCTTTGGACATCTAAGTGAAATCACATTTCCGGGTAACTTGAGGAGTTCGAAGTTGGAGGTACCTCAGGTTGGACGCATTACTCCGAGCTTCTTGGAAAATATTGGTTTGAGACTGCTATTGCCTTCAAGGTCAGGGTCTTAATTCACTCTGCGCGTTACATGTATGCCACTTGTATCTGTCGCCGTGACGTCATTGAAAAAATAACAGTGTTTCCTCAGGACAAATTTTAACAGTGTTGGTGAAGATATCGCTCTTGAAAAAGAGCCAACGGAATCTTGGGGTGTAATTAGAGTTGCTCAATCCTCCCGATAAAAAAACTATTCTAACTAAGCTTCAGGTTGTATCTTTAGTGCACTCAAAGTTTTGAACTTGACTGCATGTTTCATTTCAATAAAATCTTGCCGTTCCAATGTGGTCAATACTTTTTCTTATGATTTTTTGGAAAATCATTAGGAATAGATTTGAACTTCGGGTATCACCTAAAAGTACTTAAGCACGTCGGACGTTTTTTAGGGTAACCGAAGTATCAGGAGTGGGTTCAGAATACGCCTATCTGGTTGGTAGTGGTCACTATCACGTATCTATTAGTAGTGTTTCGTGTTAGGATGTAAAATTGTTTAGCAGCATCGTCTAGAAAATTTAGTAAGAGGAATTTTGTATATTCACGTGTAGTAAGTTATTACTAAGTGTTGAGAATATTGATCTGCATAATTGCAAGGATGCGAGAAGATTCACTGTGTTCGTTCCTCCGATAAGTCTTCATTGGCTTATATAACTATCTGGTTTCTTTTCACGTTTCATGTTTTAAATGAGAGCATTGCGAAATAGTAGTTACAGTAATTCTGAGTGTGTTTCATCTGTTTGGCTTCGCTATGAATTGTCAGTCTTCTAGACAGGGAAGTAACAAGCACGGATAGGTAGATGCATTTTTTGACATTCTATCTTATTCGGTAAATGAAGTTCCTATACATTTCGGAATTGTTAGGCATCTGATATCAGCTGAGCTGGTTATATTTTAGTTTTTAAGTTATAGTAGACAACACACTCAGTTTACAGGTTGCTGTTTTCTTTCTTCAGTCGAAATGGCTGCAAGTGTCTCGATTTTGTTTAAGAAGTCACAGCCGAGCATGGAGGTACATCTTCGTCCGAAAATTCCCGAGTCGCGTCTCTTATCAGTGACAGTTATATCTGGCTACACTAACTTAGACTGACTCCTGAACATGTTTTCCACAGTCACGAATTTAAGCGTCTAAGTCACTAGCTCAGTTGCTAGTGCCTTAGTTTCCCATTCTTAGCTACTGTAGTGTAGTCTATCACCAGCCTCTAGTAGAGAATTTCCGGTAAGCTCATATTTGTAATGCGATTGTAAGCAATAAGCCCAGTCGCACTTTAGCTGCAGTCTTTGTAAATCAGCTTGTTTTCCACTCCATTGGTCACTTAGTAGTCTGCAGCATTTTTTCCAAATAAGCTACAACGCAAAATAAAGTTTTTGGTATGCATACGTCTTGTTAACTAGTGTCCTGGTATAAATACTAGGTAGGGCATGCAGATGCTTTGCAGTCAGGATGGAGTTTCCTTTAAAAATGCAGCGAAGTTTGACGGGTAGCTATGATAGTCCTTAAATTTATAAAACTGTTGTAATGGAAGTCGTAACTTTAATACTTGATAAATCGTTATGCTACTGCGAATATGTTTTTATGATCAACTTTCTTAAAATTAGACTTTTAATGTGAACGTGGTCTTTCTAAAGTGTATACCTTTAATTTTTTTCTAACAAGGTTGAAAGCATAGTAGACAAACGAGTCCGACGCGGTCGCGTAGAATATCTTGTGCGATGGAAAGGATTTCCTCCTGAACACGATTCTTGGGAAACTTTCACGAGCCTCCGAGAGCCGTGTCTACCATTAATTCAGGACTTCTACGTTCGACAACGCAAATTATATCACAAAACAGGACGTTATCGCTTACCTATTGTTTCTCGTAAAAAACCTATAAATTCCGTATCAGATCAGTTTCATGATTCATCTTCGAAATCAGATAAAGATAGTGATGATGATCTAACCGCAGACAAAAGCAGTATTTCTTCCACAAAAAGTCAACCTCCATCCACTTGCAAGAATAATGTTGAAAACAATGGAGTAAGAAAAACCCCACGTCGATCTGCACCTAGCTCTATGGATTTAAATATACCAGACTCTTTTGTGTCACACTTGATAGTCGATTCTAACCACTCTCTCTCTCTTCAAAATCGTGGGTTAGGTTCTCCCCATCCTCCATTGGTTTCTGATGCAAATACGTCTTCTAATACTCAAGCATTCAGCTCTTCTAATGATTTAGTAAATTTTAAACGTGACGACACTCCTAATTCACCCGCTATTTCCTTATCCAGTCCAAGCAAACACGGTCGCGCCAGAGTTGCTAAGGACAAAAAAGTAGTCGCAGAAAAAACTACAGAAAATTCCGATGGTACTGTCAACTCACTTGAACTTACTTCTCCTAGCGCTTCTAAGACTACGAAACGCAAACCGCAGTCAAGTAATGTAAGTGAGGATGGATCCAGAAATACTAAGCACATGGCTTCGGAGAATGTGAAGGCTGATGCTTCTCCTGATAGTCAAGAAAGTCTTCCGGTCGGACATACAAGAAAATCTGTTACAATCATGTTAAAAGCTTCTCCTACACTTGAGTTTCAGAGTGCTAAGTCTCTTCTTTCGCCAAATACCAGACCTCTTCCTAATGTTGCCTCTAAATCAACTGCCAGAAAGCGTATTCAAGTAAAAGCTGTAAGCTTAAAGGCAGAGCCAGATACATCTATCTCTGAATCTCAATCTGAAAATGCAGATAACTCTGTCCTAACTAATTCACTCTTATCAAAGGTAATGAGTATCGTCGCCTATCTGAAAAGGTTGCGAAGGCGTCCGATACAAGACTTAGTTCTAAAGCTTTGTGAAAAGCGCTACAATATTTCTGAGAAAAATGCTTTGTCTGCATTGGATACCTTAATTTCTCGAGGTCAGTTGTTTGGAGTAGAGTCAGCTAAGGGTATATCGTATCGTATTCATCCTCATACTGTGGCTCGTGGTGATTTGAAGAAATCCACGTCCCTCTCAGCCAAAATCAAAGCCAAATATAGTGGTGGAAGAAGTAGAATACGGCCCAAAGTTTCTATCATACTTGGCACTAAACGACCATACTCTGGAGGATCACCAGACACCTGTCCATCTAAAGTTGCGAGGAACGACCCTGCGACAAGTACCGTTCGTCAGTGCTCCAGCAGGAGATCAACAAGACACAGCTTATTAGCTTCTGACAACTCTGCTGCAAATTGTTCAGTTATCAATGAAAAAATGTATTCCAGTCAGTCTTCAGACATTGTAGGCAATGCGGAAGTGAGTCTTGATCACGTTACGCAACCAGACAAGGACGATTTCTCATCAGGTGTGTTATCACGGACAAATAAAGGGTATAACATTTGTTACTACTTTTACTGCCTTATAATAGTGGTTGAGAATTAATCAAGTACTTATTCTTCGCATCTTTATGTAGCTGTAAGTTGCAGAAAAATCGTTCATGCTAATTCATTCCTGTTCAAATAACAGGGATATTTATGTTTTTACTAAGGATTCTCTCATCAGTTTGAAGTATCCGGATGGTATAGGTTTGTTGGCTCAAGGGAAAAATAACGTAGCCTTCTGAACACTTAATGATTGAAATGTATTTCAGTTTCCAAATACTAATATCCACTTCAGAGTTGATATACATGAATATTTTGTCTGCGATGACGAATGAATTAGTGAATCTTACCTGTTGATGGCTGACAAAATTATATCATACAAAAGTTTAGGTTGACTTTTACATATATCCATGTTCTCGAGTACTTATTTGGCTGTATAAAAATTGTCGGAGAGGCTACAAGATTTGTGAAGGCTTTATTTGTTTGACCAGGATTGCTATGTTATCATTATGTTTGTCTACATTTTTTATATGAACTAAGTGATGTTTAAGAATAGAGTATTAGTAGGAGGCAGATAGTCAGTTGATGGGGTTGTTAGGCAACTGAGACATGTTGTTTTTGTCCGCACTCTGCGATATTTATTATCAAACAAATAATTTAAGTAAAGCCGTGTCCGAAAATGACATTCAAAGTAGGATTATTTTTTGAAGTTGTTTGGTGACTCCATTATGAGCTTTAGAGAAGGCCAAAACTATGATACACATATACTAACTGGTTAGCTATTGAAGTAGTGAAATTTCTGGCTCTGCTTAAGGTCTTTTGAGAACTTAATACAAATTCTTTTGCTGAAATCTAATTAAATCATTTTTTGTATCGTTTCCGAGATACCTTATTTGAAATTTTATTCTTTTTTCGGCTTTTGGGTGATAAATAGGTATACAGTCTCTGAAAACAGATGATCTCCAACATGGTACAAAGATATTTATTGTACCGCCGGCTAGTCCACTGAATGAAGCCAATTGTGAGAGTCAGATGAATAATCTACCTCATCATCGCACTGAGCAGGTGTGTCAACTTATCTGCATTGCTTTGATCTAGTATTTTTAAAAATCTATTTATGTCTTTTTTTGTTTTTCATGGAGGTTTTTACATAATTTTCATATATATATATATACCTCATTGAATGACATTCGACTAATAATTTTGCAATATAATTTTACTTAGTCACATCGACTATTGGTGTCTTTTTTACATAAATCTACCAGCATATAAATGTGATGGATTCACCGTTTATCGGTGTACCTAAACTGCTGTAATGACTAGGTAATATGAATAAGATTCTGCCTACAGACTGAAGAACAGTCCAGAATCTGTCGAAGTGTGGGGATTTGACCAATACACCCTCTTCATAGTCTAAAGCCTGCCTGATTTTCTCGTGTTAGTTCCTCTCGAGCACCCCTTAGTCTACACGTGATTATTGAGCCTGCAACTTTAGATGCCACCATATTAGTCAAGCTAATACTGCTGTCCATCCCAAGCAAAATACTAAGCCGCATCATCCTGGAGAGAATCAAACAAGCCCTGGATAAAACTTCGACCGGAACAGGCTGGATTCAGGAGAAACAAGTCATGCATTGGTCAGATCGCCACATTACGGATCATCATTGAACAAAGCCTGGAATGGCAGTCACCTCTCTATCTCAACTTCATCGACTTTGAAAAGGCCTTTGACAGCGTCGATCGAGAGGTGATTTGGAAACTATTTCGCTACTATGGGGTACCACCGACAATTATACATCTCATCCAACAGCTGTACGACAATGCTGCATGCCAAGTAATCCACAATGGGAAACTTACGGAATCCTTCGAAGTGAGGACAGGAGTAAGACAAGGCTGCCTACAATCGCCAATGATTTTCCTGATTGCAGTAGACTGGATAATGCGACAGACAACGGGCAATGAGGAAACAGGCATAAAATGGACTCACACAAAAAAACTTGGAGGATCTGAACTTCGCCGATGATATATGTCTGATTTCCCACAAACTGGAAGATATGCAAGCGAAAAGCAACAAGTTGGCAGAAGAAGCATCAAAGATAGGACTTCAGATGAACATAGAGAAAACAGAGGTGATGAAAATTCCTGGGCAACACCACCAACAGCAACAACAACAACTGACAACAATCAGCATAAATGGGAGGAACCTGAAAGAAACAACCTCCTTTACCTACACACCCACCTGGGAAGCATCGTTTCAACTACAGGCGGGCGGAACTGACGAGGAAATCAAAGCAAGAATCGGAAAAGCAAGACAAGCTTTCAATACTCTCAAGTCTGTGTGGAGGTCAACAATACTCAGCATCAAAAATAAGATCCGGATCTTCAACTCCAATGTGAAGTCAGTGCTACTATACGGATCAGAGACTTGCACTGCGCGTCATAAAGAGCATCTCAAACAAGCTACAGACCTTCATTAACAGTTGTCTTCGCTCAATACTCAAGATCGGATGGCCAGAAAAGATCAGAAACAGGAATCTCTGGGAGCGAACCAACCAGGAAACGATTATGAAACAAATATGCAGGTAGAAATGGAGATGGATTGGCCATACTCTGAGGAAACAAGCCATAAAGTGACATCACTAGACAAGCCATTGCTCTAGTGGAACCCGAGAGGTAAGCGGCGAGTTGGTCGTCCAAGGGTGACTTGGAGGAGGTCATGTGAAGAGGAGATGAAAACGTGTGGGCAGACATGGAGCCAGGTGAAGACTCCAGCAGAGAACCGAACTCAATGGAGACGCACGGCTGAAGCCCAATGTTCCTCTAGGAAATAAAGGAAACAATATTAATAATAATAATAATCCCGCTGTGGTTTTCACAGGAAGAATTTTCTCTCTTCTTGTGTGCCGGGATAATCAATGACTTACACCACCCTGATGGGACTATCTCTGATTCCCAGACGCTTCGTAGTACCTCAGTTAACGCAGACAGTAAACTGTCCCCGCCATCTTCTTTAGTTCATCCGAACTGCAGTCGGTTGGGGCGTAAGCGGAGACTACGAAAAGACAATGACGCGTAACGCTGTCCTTCCTTCTTCTACCGGACCCGTTGAGAAGGACCGCACACATACGACCATCTACTAAGATCCAGTTAAGAAGTGATTTTCCTGCCTTAACACTCAATGCTATCTCTATATCTGTGAGTCCTCGCAAACTAGCTGAGGGTTCTCCTGACACCCTTAAGGTGAATTTCTCAGATTCACTTTGTTGGTCGGTTGAGGTTAAGTGAATGATGAATACGCTCGGGTCTTGTATGTGTGTCTCCGAAACACAACATACATCCATGGCTTGAGATGCCAGGGTTCTTGCTAGTGATGCCTGTTTTCAGATTTGGCAGAGGGTTCTGACTTTAAATGCTCCTATAGGAAGTTGGCGACGTGACTTTGAGAGGCCGTCGGGGGTGTTTCTATTGCTTGTTTGTGGTCACAGAATGAAGTGAAGATGACTCACTAGCCTCAAGAATAGCACTAACTGTAGTAGATGAGTAAGATGAACGTGATGTGGGGAAGAGGGGAATGATGCTCAGGAAGGTTTGCTTTTGCTTTTGGAAGTGTGTGGGTGGTTGTTACTTCTCGGCTGCCCACACCGTGGAAGTTGATTGAGTCTTCGGGTACCTGACACAGAAAGAGAGTTTGTGTTACGTGACCGCACAGCCTAGGGGACAAATGCTTGAGGCCGGTCACACACGGCTTGTATAAACTGGTTTCTGGGATTGGTTCCGTATTAGTAAATTTACCGTCGGTAACGGACCACCGTAGGGTCAGTCTGGATGTACAATTGTTGGGGTCGACCTTTTCTAATCCTGTCTCTCCAGAGTGGAGAGACAGCATAGCTGGCATGCTGGTCATCTTAGGAAAACACCTTACTGCTGTTACATCCCTATTCTTCAGCAGTACGACTTCGCCCACAGACCCCGAGCATAGTGTAAAAAATATATTGTTCTTCGATATTACTATTCTTTTTGCCTCATATTCAGTTTAACTGTCTCTGTTTTGCGTTTCTTTTTACTTTTTTCTCTGGCTTTATGTGCTGAGTGAAGTGGGGCAACTTGAACTGATGCACATCAGTGCAAAGTTCTGTGCTGAAACCACTCAGCAGTCAGTCGAAGAATAGTCCCTCTGCTAACAAGTGTAAAGAAAGAGCTACTTTCATTGTTTTAATTCTTATGCTGTCTTCGGCATGGAAGATACTAACCATATTACTTTACTTATTATTTATTGTCGTCAGGGTTCGTGTAGTAGTATGAGTTCTGGACCTGGTTTCGAGAACTCAGGAATTGCTCAAGTGACTAATTCAAGACGTAGCAATCGACAAATGGACGGCTATAGATTCAAATCAATTTGTGTAAAAAAAAATGTACAGGCTAGATTTACAGAGGTTTGGCTCCGGTCACCAAGTTCATCTTTTAAGAATGCATTTACTATTCAGGTATATGTTTTTCATTGGCGTTTTTCCGGAATACGGACACTTGTGGGGGTGGAAGTTTTTCTCATTTGTCACTACTATATATATATATATATATATACATATACACATATATATATGCGAAATATCACTACTATATTTTACAAATCAAAGACTACTCAACTTTCTTATGTAAGTTTATTGATATGGTGCTTTAGCGGCGAAACAATGGTATTACCTGGAAAGACAATGAATGCTTCACAATTAAACCCCCTGGCTCATAGAGCATAAGCACCTCGAAAAAGTGATATTAGTTGTTTGGGGATATAAAAACCTTAAATTAAAAATTCAATTTACAAAAGTTGATCGATTTCTGCTTTTGTTTTCATTTCATGCTTTCCATATCGCTTCACAGGGATCCACATTTCTCCTCTTCGAAAATTAATCAATCACTCTGCTGTTCTAGATTCATGTAGAAGACATCAACAATATACTATCTACAAGTTCTTGTCAGTACGGAACTTGACAACATCAACCTCATTTATTTCTAATATTTTTGCGGCATTCATTGGTTGGTGGTCACGCTAAATCACGAATCCGTAGAAGTTAGAATTCATGGGCCATTAAATCGGGTCCCAGTGGCTGGATAGTATACGAACTTGCCTTGTAACAGGAAGGTCCTGGGTTCGAACCCCACTGGGTGGGTACTGCCGATGATGCACAAACTAGGACGAAACAGCTGTTCAATGCTCCCTGGTTTTTATGGTTCTCAAACTATTATCAATCCGTGGTCAAGCCCATATTCAATTTCATCTATTTTCAGCAGTAAGGTATTTCCGGATACATTTGAATAAGTGGACGCTGGTCGATTTGTTTCTAGTTAGTCAGCTGCGTTTTGGTGGAGGTATAAACTGTTAGAGCGCAAATCGCAAATCAATAGGTAGATAAGCACATGTAGCGCCATTGTGACACTAGTTCGACCGTCCAATATTAGGTTTATAAAATAAGAAATGAAGATCCTATGGAAAGCATGAATAGAAAACAAGAAGCAGAATTCAATCAACTTCTGTAAGTTGGGATTTTAATGTAAGGTTTTTATATTACTACCGCTGCATATGATTTAGCCAAATAAAATTTCCCGATACCAAATACCACTCACTGTTTTGCCGGTACTTATAGTGTTTTTGCTGTCGATCAGCTGAAATCCTCGTGGCCTACAATTTTCGAAGAGGGAGGCAAATGGAGCTTCCTACGAAATTTTGAAGTATTTGGTGAGTTGCTAGGCATTCAGGATATGACAGCGAAAGGATGGTTCTGGAGACGTTGCTGAGTGGTTGGGTGGCTTCAGCGTACAGATGGAAATTATTAGTGAAACGGTTGGTGATGGAGTTCTATGGCCTCAAGACAGACAGCAGTTCCATACCTCAAAACGAGGACCAGATGGAGAAGCACTGGTAATGGCGCTGCGCACTTCCTACTTTTGAAGAAGAGTTTGAGGAGCACTTATTGTCGTTGACTTCCAATCAATGGATCTCGGCTCCGAATCTTGCCCCATCTACTTCAACATGGGCAAGTGGGTAGTGTCATCAACTATCATATGTGTATGACTTATAACGCAGTGCCAAGTAACTTAGTTCTAACAAACTAGTTATTGGCGTCACAGCCCTTTTAGTGCTCCAGATGCCATTCAAAAATAACCGCATCTAGTTAACGCGACACAACCTATAGGCATTTTTGATCTAGCGAAAGTAATCAGAAGGCTATTAAGTAAATAGTTACGTAAATAAATGACATATTGAAGATTTAAAGCAGCAAGTGGCGAATGGTCTTTGCATGTGGCAAACCTGGTCACTATCGGAAGCACCTCCAAACAAACGGAGAAGGGCATTTTAGACAATATAATGTATGCCATTTCTTTCCAGCTGCACTAAAAGTTATCGGGGAAATCGATACTTACGTTGCGACTAAGTGACCGAAAAGCTGTACACCTAACAGATACAGACTGTGTGCATTGACAGTCCAGATAGCAAATGGACATATGTTGAAAATGTCAGGCGTTTCAGACTGCATCGTCCAAATCAGGAATCTCAAAGTAAGCTTTCCCCAGTTACAGCGAACAATCCTTGGGGGTAATTTTCTGCCGTGATTAATACGGTCAAAAGGACTGTGATTACAAAGTACAAATCAACTACTCTGTCTGAGAATAGTGAGATAGCAGGTGTTGTGGTGCTAAAAATACCAAATGTAATGATGTTGGTTTGAAAATACAAGCCAATATTTACTGGAGACAAAAATCCGTATGAGTACTGTGATAAGATAAGGCTCGAATTCCCAGTGATGGGTTGAGAAATGACAACGTCCACCACATTTGGACTTTGACATCATTTAGAAGAGGAATATGAACAATTTCAGGAAAAGTTAATTGATGATATTGAAGAAACTGACTGTTCATAAAGCTCTTTACTGCTCTTGCCCTAATTCTGATTTGCGAGGGTTAAACAAAGCAGCATTGGAACATTGTGACATGTCAACTATGGGAATAACCCTAGATCGTCTACAAAGTGCTACTCTGTTTACATTCCTACACCTCCAATCAAGATATTGTCAGGTTCCGATAAAAAACAGTGCGGTAGAGATCATAAAGCGTTCATCGTGAGGCAGCAACAATATCGGTTTAAACATATGCTATTCGAATTAGCAGTTGTACAATTTTTGCATTGAGACGACTAATGAGGTTACCTAAGATCTTAACGAAGATGAAAGTGTGTGGTGACGCTTTTATGTTCGGTTTAGTAAAAGCTTTAATGAGATGGCAAATCCTCCGTACAGACTGTTATGTCAAAATTTACTTGGCTAGAAAACTCACAGAAGATGTTCTGCCTCATTAAACAGCTTTTAGACTACGAGTAAATGATTTTAAAACTGCCTGTACTTAGAAAGCAGTTCACAGAGCTTACGAATGCGAGTGACTAGGAAATAGGTGCAGTACTAAGTGCGAAGGAGTTGTTAGATATGCTGGTCTTGTTCTAACACCCACGGAGCAAAAACTTTCAACTGTCAATAAAAAACACTTAGCAAAAGTGAGAGCATTAGAGATAGGAAGTGAGGGTGACGTGATAAAGGAGAATGTTGCTCAGGAAGGTTTGCTTTTGCTTTTGGAAGTGTGTGGGTGGTTGTTACTTCTCGGCTGCCCACACCGTGGAAGTTGATTGAGTCTTCGGGTACCTGACACAGAAAGAGAGTTTGTGTTACGTGACCGCACAGCCTAGGGGACAAATGCTTGAGGTCGGTCACACACGGCTTGTATAAACTGGTTTCTGGGATTGGTTCCGTATTAGTAAATTTACCGTCGGTAACGGACCACCGTAGGGTCAGTCTGGATGTACAATTGTTGGGGTCGACCTTTTCTAATCCTGTCTCTCCAGAGTGGAGAGACAGCATAGCTGGCATGCTGGTCATCTTAGGAAAACACCTTACTGCTGTTACATCCCTATTCTTCAGCAGTACGACTTCGCCCACAGACCCGCAGCACAGTGCAATTAAAATCTCACACTTTGCCGGTAACTGCTTTTTGTCTAATCATTATCCCAACACTCTTCCTGACATGGCAGGAATATTATTTCCAGCCAGTGTAGCTATATGCGAGCCCGACAACCACCTAAAGGTAGCAGCTATCCGTCAGGCGTTAGATACGTGTAAAGCTATCTACTCGGTTAGTGGTCCCATATTAAGACTGTTGAAAAGTCTCTGAAATGGCTGAAGACTTCGAAAGACACGTGGAAAATTGTTGTGGTAGTTATTACGTTAGGCAGTTTCGCGATATCACACCTTCCAGGTAAAGAATTTTGCCATTTTTTTCTAAACGAGATGTAGCATACGGTGTATGCACACTAAGACAAGACTTATTAAAGTCAAAAGTCCGTTCCTATCATAAACGCGGTGATACTGCCGACTGCTAATGGGATAAATTTGATTTGATCTGCGGTGATTTGGAATCATATTACTCAGACAGAAGATCGATTAAGATTGAACATTAACAGGGCTTTGATTTAGCGAAAGAGAGAGATGGAAGTTGGTTGGCAGTGATACCTCAGTCCGTACTCCATGAAATGATATAAGCTAGCACATACACGTGTAACCAGAAGAGTCGATTTCTTGAAACAAAGCATGTATTGACCAGGTGTGAGAGTTGTTGCGAAATATGTGCTTAGCTGTCTTCAGTGTCTATTTATGAAAGGGGATTGGTGCATATGACCTTCTCTGTAATCGATTTCATAAAGCATGAGGTGATTTTCGGTCCATAGTTTTAGTGAAACCTTCTCCTCATTCCTATGGTCACAATCATTACGTCTTGGAGACGATGGAATACGCTACACAATGGTTGGACGCTGTTGTGGTCCTAAATCAACGCGCCATGACCGACCGAGGTCGTTATTCTGCATATCTTTGCAGAAGACGGTGTACCGTAGACAATATCGTTAGATCAAAGTCCTTGTCTTGAATGTGGGGAATTTCCATCCCAATCACCTGGATGTAAGTGGGTGTCCGGCCTCAAAAAGAAATAACCATTAGAAAGAGCTTCGATTGGTTCTACTAGCACATCGTGTTTCCGTTCAGATATCAAAGTCATCGTTCTAGTTGATTCAGTATAAAAAACTGCTACTACCAATATACAATCAGGCCTGACCACGTCAACAACAGTGAAGTGTGTAGAGATGGCAGTCGGAACTGAAAGAAGCGGTCAAAATGTGAAGCATAGATGGAAGGTTAACTCTACAAAATTGGAGGAAAGAAAAAGATACCTTGCGTTCGACTTTCGGAGATCAAGTAAAGTTTAGGGAAAGAAAGTAAACTGTCACAGGCTGGCCAGTGGGAAGGACCTTACACTGTCATTGAGAGACGTGGCTTGTTTATACCATTAGAAGAGGAGACAAACAGAAACGTGTTAACTGCAGTCCATCTCAGAGATCATTGCATTGGAATGAAAAACTCTAAAAGAACAGATATCACTAAGGAATTTGAAGTTGCTGCTCTCGGGACTTTTTGACAGGTCGTGGCCTGCACTTCTTATAAGAACTTGTAGATAGTATATTGTTGATGTCTTCTACATGAATCTAGAACAGCAGAGTGATTGATTAATTTTCGAAGAGGAGAAATGTGGATCCCTGTGAAGCGATATGGAAAGCATGAAATGAAAACAAAAGCAGAAATCGACCAACTTTTGTAAATTGAATTTTTAATTTAAGGTTTTTATATCCCCATCACTGTACATCATCTAGCCAAACAAACGATTCTTGATGCCAGATGCCACTGTTCTGCCCTCACATCATCTCCGTATACTTGCTTCCATCCAATTGTGATACTATTTAATCGTTTTAGGGCCAGACACAGCTTGTTTAAATACCGTGGATATTGTCTTTGAAAAGCTAATGCCATTTTGGAGCAATGCCTTTAGTTTTCTAATGCGTTTAAAATTCCGTCTTATAGATTTCCATGCTGTTCACTGTTCGCCAGACTCGGGACCAGTTGCTGTAAATAGAGGTGTGGTCGGCCTCATTATGTAGCGCTGCTGGAAGACAGGCAGTTGTTACGGATTGGCTCTTGTTAGTTCATGACCTCCCAGATAGGATTCAAGATCTGAGTCAAGTCAATGGCTTCAAATGCTCTACTTGTGTGGTGTTTTTCTCATTACCAATGCTACATTAATCTTGTCTGCATAATTTATAATAATAACTTTTCAAGATTATTCATCGATTGAAGTCAAATTAGAATACTGTTATTGATTGATTCCATTAATTTGATAGAATGGTTATGGAAGTGTGTAAAGACTTGTGTATTTATTTGGTAGAGTATCTGTAGTCGTTTGTTTTCTTTCTACTAATATTTCGCTTCTCCCCGTTTGCTTAGTCTTCCTCTCTGCATTAGTACGAAGTGTGTCAGTATGCAACCATACTTGGTTGTGTGTTAGTGTGCATCAGGTTGCTTATACAAATTGAACATTTTGTATGACGTCCTAAATCCTCGCATTCTTAATACTAGCATTGCATAATCAATTAATTATTATTCATAACCCTTTATTTTTCAAATTCCTAAGGTTCTTGAAGAGCTAACAATGGTTTTGAATCGATCAACTTATGACTCAAGCCACCTCATTATGATTTCGGGATCTGGGACTGTGTTCAGCTCTGGAATCGACCTTACTACTATTACCGGAGATCTTTTAACAAATGCATTTATCGGTCCACCTTCATGTGATTCCTCCCGAAGTTCATCTACAAGTTCGAGTAATGTATGCACATCTCGTAATTCAAACAATGGTAAAAAAGCTGGGATTGATATTTCCAAATCAACTCATATCAGTCATTCTGGTTTTTCATATTCTCAGTCGAGTTCGGATTCGAATTCTTCAAACCAGAAAAATATAAATGAAGTTAATTCGCTTTTCAGTTCATTACTAAATCCTGAAAATATTGAACGTCTAGTTAAAGCCCTAAGGTCATTCCTGTTATCATTAGTATCATTTCCCAAACCTATTGTTGTTGGTGTAAACGGTCCAGCTATGGGGCTCGCTGTTGCTATATTACCATTGTGTGACATTGTTTACGTTAGTGATTCAGCCACATTTTATATGCCATACACTCGCCTTGGCCAAATTCCGGAAGCAGCATCAACTTATACTCTAAGCAGTCTCATCGGTATGCCTTTGGTAAGTTACTTCAAACGTTTTTGCATAGGCTGTTGTCATTCACTGCGTTTCGTGACATTTTTCGCCAATTTGTTAAAGTACTATTACATGTTCGCTACACTAAACCTTTTTGTTGCACGACATTTTAACGATAAGTGATAAGTTCATCCTATCATTATTAGTGTATTGGTCATTCTAATCAAAGCGCATACCGACAGACGCCATGCTGACTTAGTAGCCGAACTTGTGTATCATCTTGCTCTATGGCTTTTGTTCCTGTCAGCAGGATCTGCTAAGGAGAAATACGATTCAGTGACTACTAAAACCAATAGCAACAAACAGTTTGCAATAAAATCTGGGTCACCACTCTGAGTTTTCTCAAAAACAGTCTACTTTCTTTCAGGACAAAATCCCATGGCTCATTGACTGAAGTTTTTATACTGTCCAGATGAGTAGATCCGGGAGTATAAGGGAAGGTAGTTGTGTTAACTAATGTTTGTTCATGATCTGCCACTACAGCATGTTTGACTTATATGAATGATGAGTTTCACAAGAACATACTATGTTCATATACAGTCATGTAAGTGGGTGACGACAATGCTTAGATACAATAGTCAAGTTATTCGTAAGGCCTTATGGAATCAACAGTGTTAATAGTGTCGTAGGAGCACTTATAATCACTTGCTGAAAAGATCTAAATTAAGATGTAACGAATGACAACTAAACGCAGGCAACTATAGGTAAGAATAAGTCATTTTGCTTTATATCACCTACGTTTGTAGGAAACCAACCTTTAACTTCACAGTATATTCTTATTACTATTCTTGTTCCCTTGACTTTTGGGTGGTACATATAGCTCTAGCAGGATATCTTCATTTCATCCTGTTATTTACAATCTCCCTCTGGGTCCACGATTGTCCATAAAATCTCATCTCCCCAAACGACCTCCTCCGTGTCAACCTCGGACGCTCAATTCTTTGTTTTTCATTCAGCTTCCACTCAAGAGCCTGGCATGTGATGTGTCACTCATCGGTCTTCTCGGCGTATGTCCAATCTGTCTCTAATTTCTCCTGCAATTTTGTTGGGCAGTAGGTTGTTGGTTGGTTCGTTGCCAGAATATGTCGTTGCTGGACCATTTTGATCGACCATCTGATCTTCAGTATCAAGCGAAGTCAGCTTTTGATGAAGGTCTGCAATGGGCTGTTAGAAACGCTTTTGATGACGCGATTTCTAACTCTCTAAACTATACAGAAGCACAAATTTGAGTCTTCACTTCTTTGTTTTTGTACTTAGTGTTTTATATCTTCACACTGATTTGAGAGTAGTGGAGATTCCTGCCTTTCCGGTCGAGGCTTTCACGTTCACATTAGGTCCGCCTGTCGTCAAAATGATGCTGCCTAGATCAGGGAAGAAGGTGACTTACTTAAGATTTCTCCTCTTGACTGTGAATGACGTTTGTTGCTGTTGGTTAGGTATCTTCATCCCCTCTGTCTTCTCTGCGTTCACCTGAAATCCTGTATCGGCTGCTTCCTCTGTCAACTTGTTGGTTTTCACCTGTAAGTCTTCGAGTTTATGTGACATTAGACAAAAATCTCCCGTGGACTCCAGATCTTCAAGAGTCTTATTATCGATCTAACGTTTCCCTGTTTTCTCGCTCCACACAGTCTGCCACATGATTCAGTCCACCACAAGGAGGAATATCATAAGTGGTAATAGTCAGCTTTGTCTTACTCCTGTCTTCACTTCAAATGCTTCGGTGGGGTATCATTGTATAGGTGTTGAATGAAGTTTAATTAGAATTGAGCATATTAATATATGTGTAAAACTTGGGCACCATGGTAGTAAGTAATTCCATATTAGTTTGTTTATTAGATATATCACACAGTGAAACAGTGAGCACGCTGTAGTGTTGAAGCAATTTCCAAATTATTTAACGGTTGACGCTGTTGAAAGCCTTTCAAAGTCTACAAAGTTGGTGTGAAGCTTTGACTACCGTCGTACGCTCTATTCGGTGATGTCGATGCGTTGTAGTGCAGTTTGTTCCTCGGAGAGTTTTGTATCCAGAATGATACTACTTAGTAGTTTCTTTTGAGAAGATATAGGTATGATTCCGCGTTGGATTTTGAAAAGGTTTAAATCACCAGTCTTTGTTCATTTGATAAGGTAGTCCTTCTTCCAATCGTTGGGTACATTTCCCTCGTCCCAAACCTTCTGCAGTAGTGGCGTGACCATATCTAGTGTGGCCTCTGGATCTCCTTTCAGTGCTTTTGGAGAACTTCCGTTTGGTTCTGATGCCTTTCTGGTCCTTAGTATCTTCATGGCATCCAAAGTTTCTAGTTTCGTTGGGGGAAGGGTGTTCACTGGTATTTCTGTGGCTGTTGGTGGTATACCTGGATGGTTGGCAGGAGGTAGTCGGTTCAAGAGCTCTTTGATGTGATCAGTCCGGCATTTTCTTTGTCCCAACTCCTTACTGATTAGGTTTCGTTGACTATCTTTCATTGGTTTCATCTGTGTTGATTGCTTCCCAGATAACGACCTAGTTATCTGGTATAGTGGTATGAGATTCCTCTTACCTGCGGTCTGTTCTGCATCAGATACCAATGTGTAGCAGAATTGTCTTTTGCATTTCCTAGCACTCTTCCTCACTTCTTTGTTCAGTTCAGCTTCTATTTTCTTCCCTTGTTCATCCTATGTTTCACTGTCTCTGAGCTCTCTAAAAGCTTCCACTTATAAACCTGAAAATTTGCACAAAATGACAGTTCTGGTTGCCACACTTTGAAGAAACACAGAAAAGGTATGCAAAAATGTTGTGAAACTATAATTGACGAAGTTGTACGCGAGAGAGAATAATTAGATGAAGTTTAATAAGATCGGGGTCCTCGGAATGCTGAACATCAACGGCTGGGGGAATCTCAGCGAAATAATGCAAATTCTCTCATTATAGTAAGTATCTGTCATCTTTGAAATCCTAAACACCTTTGCTGCAGTCTATCAAGTTTCTCTTTCCTCTTTGTTCGTTGTAAAATCAATCTACTTTCTGTTTTTTTTATTGATTTCGCATTTACGCTGTATTATAAGTTAGTTAGGTTTGACGCTTTAAGTGCAGAAGAATGATGATAGTAATTAGTGGTCAAATTATTTATATCGTGCATGAAACCGAACTCTTTTCCGACTAATTAATCTACGTGGTTAATCACTATAGTTCATAAACAATCTTCTTAAAATGATGTTTGAACCTGAAATCGTAGTTATTTATGGGTAAAGTGTACTTCAGTATAGTATTTAGAACGGAATCAAGATGCATTGGTTATATTTTTAATCAACGACAGGTTATCAAACATGGACAGATTTAGCAGCACCTAATGTTTATCGTATTAATCAACCTGAAGGAGGTAGTGATAACTATAAAGTTGGTTGGTATTGCTCCACTTTGATTAAGATTTTTCTTAGATATACTAATATAAATAATTTTGTTTTACGAAAAGGAACTGATTGGTTCTGTTTCTCTTCCTTGGTCTTTCTCTAAACGTTTCCTGATAATTCTGTCTAAAAAAATTCGCCTACGTAAAACCAAGCATTTCTATTCGATTTTGTACAATTTCTTGGCAGGCTAGTGAGTTACTATTGGCTGGTCGTAAATTGTCTGCGCGTGAAGCATTGCAACGAGGTTTAGCTTCCGATATAATTTTTCCTAAAAATTTTAAGCAAGAATTAGTACTCCGATCTCAGAAGTTGGCTGAAACTTCGTGCGTGGTAAGTGTGCTCATGCTATTTTATTGATTTAATATTTACTGTTACAGAAAACTTAAAAACTGTGCGAATTTACCTCCTGAAATTAGGTTTATTCCCAGTTCACTTCACTGGCTGACTGACTGCTTTCAACGTAGAACTTTGGACAGATGTGCAGCAGTTCAAGTTGCCCCACTTCACCCAGCACACAAAGCCAGAGAAAAAAGTAAAAAGAAACGCAAAATAGAGAAAGTAAAGAGAGATATGAGGCAAAAGAATAGTAATATCGAAGAACAATATAGTTTTATTGGAAATTATAAGTCACAAGGAGTGAATGCATCTGCGCCATTGAGGACGATTTTGAACCATATCACCGATTGTCTCTAGCCATTGGTGTTTAACGTCCCAAGGATCCCAACCAGGAAGTCTACACCAACTAACTGTTGTGCATGACATTGACTGATGCCATGTTTTGGTTTGACCACTACTGGTTCTTTTCCAACCTGACCTTATGTCAGATAACATTGCCCATTGTCGAGGAACGCGATGGCTAGGATTGCGTAACACATGTCCTAACCATCTCAATCGATGTAACTTCACAGCCTTGTCTATTGATTTTCCCTCTTTACCTAGCACTCGGCGCCTAACCTCAATATTGCTCACCCCATTATACCATTTTATTCGGTAGATAAAACGCAGGCATCTACGATCAAAGACAGCTAGCCTTTTCATGTCTTCCACTCTCAATGTCCATGTCTCGCTTACACTCATAAATGCGGATGGACCGGACTGCTGAACAGTACACATGCCCTTTGGTCGACAACCAACCTGATATTACGTCTACGTAGCCAGAGACGGCGTAAACTAGCATATGCGCAACTAGCCTTCAGTATCCGTGCTGAGATTTAGTCAGCGATCAACCCACTGACGTTGACTGGGCAACTTCCCAAATAAGTGAGGCGGTCAACATGCTCTATCACTTCACTCTCCACCTTTAAGTTCCGAGTCAATGTAGTCCAGTCCAGTCATGTAGCATCATCTTACACTTGACAGCACGAGCGAATCGCATGTCAAACGTTCCTCGATTGCTGCTCAAGATGTTCAGAAGACTCTGCATTTTGTCAGCGTCTTCACCTAGAAGGACTACATCATCCGCATATGCTAAGTCAACGAGATTATTCCCTGGTAACAAGTCAATCGGTGAGTCGCTGAATTCAGTTAGAGTTAAGTCGACTAGTACATCTATGATGAAATGAAACAGAAATGAGGACAGTGGACATCCCTGACGGCCACCACTGGTTGTTATCACTCTCCGTAGGTCCTTACCTGGCTGCATGGGTTCGAGTGGAGTGCATTGATTAGTGCGATGTATTTCCTCGGCATACCCTCCACGACCAAACATTGCCATAGTACCTCTCGGTCGACGGAATCGAATGCCGCTTTCAGGTCAAGAAATATAACAACTGTTGGACGCCGGTAAGTACGCCTATGTCCCAGAATCTGTCGAAGTGTGAAGATATGACCAATACACCCTCCTCCTGGTCTAATGCCTGCCTGATTCTCTCGTGTTTGTTCCTCTCGAGCACCACTTAGTCTACACATGATTATTGAGCCTGCAACTTTAGATGCCACCATATTAGTCAAGCTAATCCCCCTGTGATTATCACAGGAAGACTTGTCTCCCTTCTTGTATACCGGGATAATCAATCACATACACCAGCCCAACTGGACTATCTCTGATTCCCAGAGGCTGCCTAATGCCCTAGTTAACTGAGACGGTGAATTGTCTCCACCGTTCTTAAACATCGCTGCTGGAGTCATTCGATCAGGTCCCACTGCCTCGCCTCGTTTCAGATTACAGACAGCTTTTGTAACCTGAGTTGGGGACGGAGGACGGGTGTTCATATACCATTCAGGGAGGTGTTGGATGCTAGGTAAGTTGAGAGTGGCTGTAGGCCAATTAAACTGCTCCTCGAAGTGTTCTTTCCAACTTCCTATTCGTCTATCGTGGGAGCTTGTTATGGTGCCATTTTCTCAGAGATTGTTTCACTTGTCATTTGCCTTCTCCCACCTGTTTCCCTGATAAGTCTCAATAGTGGTCTGGTGTTACCAATCGCCGGTGCCTTTTCTATCTCTTTGTCTTTTGTCGCCCACCACTGTTCACGGTCGTTACGAAGATTTCTTGTTAGTTTGCGTTTGAGTAGCTTTCGCTCGTCATCATAATTGGAGCTCGCCGGAATCAGTCTTATTGTATAAGTGAGTTCGCATGAGGTGGTAGAAATCCAATGGCTGTTGCTAACTTGCCAGCAGCTTTTACAACTGTCAACAAGTAGCTGTATACTGTTCCAGGTTTCCTCAGGAGGCGTTTTACTGTAGACCTCGGGTACCCGTTTCGGTATTTCTTCCTTGAATAGGGTTCAGTGTCCTGATCTAGTTGGGAGCGTAACTGCTTCGCTGCTAAAAGGTTTTTATGTCCATTTAGTCGTAAGCATAAACGTGTGCGAACCAGGGCGTGATTGGAGTCTACGCACGTGTTCCAGAAAGAGCGGCAGTCTTCTACTGACCCTCACAAACGATACCCTATCGCTATGTGGTCTATCTGAGTCCAACGTTGATTTAGTGATGGAGGTCGCCAGGTTACACATTGTCTCTCTTTGTGCCTAAAGTTAGTGCTGACTAGGAACAAATGATTATCTGAGCAGAACTGTAGAAGACGATCACCGTTGTCGGTTCGTCGGAAGAGAACTCCGTAAATACACCCTATGCACTTCTCAGTCTGGCACAATTTCCCTACTCGGGTTTTGAAGTTGCCTGCTAAAACAACTATTTCTGAACGTTTTGCTTTTCACAGCAAAATAGACAATTTCTAGTAGAAATCACCCTTTTAGTTCATCCGAACTGCAGTCGGTTGGGGCGTATGCGGAGACTACGAAAAGACAATGACGCGTAACGCTGTCCTTCCTTCTCCTAACGCACCCCAGACATACAACCATCTACTGAGATTTAGTCGAGGAGCGATTTTTATGGCCTTGCACACCAGCATGGCTGGCATGTTGGTCATCTGAGCGGACCATCTTACTGCTGTTATATCCCTGTTCCCTAGCAGTACGACTTCGCCCACAGACCCCAGCATGGTGCAAATGCAATCTTACAGTATTCTGGTAACTGCTTTTAGTTTAATCATTATCCCAACACTGTTCCTGCATCGTACGTCCTGTAGGAACCTTCTGTTATCAGACATCTCTAGTGCTTGTAGAGTTAACAGAGATTTTATCTGTGAAGTTCCCATATCATGCGATTCCCATCATATAGGGGCGATCTACTTTCAAATCGTCAGAAATAGTCATCAGGACATTGGATAGAAAAGAACAAGAAGCGTAGCATTTTAAGGTTAGAATGATTGATCCCACGAATATAAATAATTCAGAAAAAAAATCAGCAATCTCACTACATGCAATAACACACAACCACACAGTAGGGTGGGGAAGAGTTCAAATTCTAAATAGGAATATAGGTAGGTGGAAAGGGAGATTGATTACTGAATCCTGATTCATTGAGTCTACACCCAGCATATGCAACAGAAATGACTCAATGCAAATACCACAGATCTGGGAGATATTACTACCCGTCAAATCAGAGGACAATAAATAATGTGAAAATGTATTTTATTCAAATTATAACATTCTAACAAGTTATTTATTCTTCCATAAAAGCATCTCATTTCCCATCTTATTGTATTTTATTCATAACACTAATGTTATTTCCCAATGTACTTTATCTTATATTGACTTTATTCAAATGTCTGATCAATTTTACTCATTTGTATAAATCAAGGAAAACTTTGCATGAGTGACTTGATATGATTATGAGCAATAGTTTGTGCTCGAAACGTCATCAGTAGATACTACTGTATAACACTGTGTGGTTTATCAAAATAAAATCTTATCCATAGTGGAGTTATACTCTCCTACAGTGCCCAAGTTTTATACTTATATCCTCTAAGCATTCTATTTTTATCATAGTCTTTCTCTAATACATTTATGTGTTTGCAACTATCTTGAAATTACTTAATCGATGTCTTACTCTCGTTAGGTGACAAAGTTGATAACAAATAGAGTATTCTGAACCCTCTGGTTCATATCCCAAACACTGAAATTATAATTGAGCTTTTTAATTCAATTTTTCATTTAAAAGTTGAAATACGTTATATATCGTACAGGATAACGAATGTAGTAGTGAATCTCACCAGTTGATGGCTGACGAAATTATATCATACAAAAGTTTAGGTTGACTTTTACATATATCCATGTTCTCGAGTACTTATTTGGCTGTATAAAATTGTCGGAGAGGCTACAAGATTTGTGAAAGCTTTATTTGTTTGACCAGGATTGCTATATTATCATTATGTTTGTCTACATTTTTTATATGAACTAAGTGATGTTTAAGAATAGAGTATTAGTAGGAGGCAGATAGTCAGTTGATGGGGTTGTTAGGTAACTGAGACATGTTGTTTGTGTCCACACATTGTCTATCCCAATAGTATTATGAGGGATGTCAAGGTGGTCAAACTGATACATATGCCTCTTGCTATTCATGACCTTCAATAGCTCATTGCCCTAAGAACTCAAATTCCATGTGTTATCAGTAACAAGTTCCACTCTTTATTTTGTATGTTGCGTTGAAGCATAAGCTTAATAGACTGAACACCAAGATCTGCTGTACATACAACAATAAAATAGCTATACTAGTTGAAGAGAATATAAATTATTATGTTTTATCACAGTATAAAAAAGTAATCATATTCATTAGAAGTCTTCGTAAAGGCCTTCATTACTTCGAAGTAGGAAGAAGAAGGAGATTGTTGCCTATTAACCATTGAGCTACATTTGACGCCGCGAGTCACTGAGTCTCATGATTTCGTTGACCCCACTGAGGGAGTATTGATTCACTAACAAATGGTCGCATGATACAACTGTCCTTCACTCTACAGCACCACATCATGGGTTGATCACTTGTGCTCTCACTGTCCATCTCCTGTATTTTCAAACAGTGAACGATATGTACGCTGCTAGAAAAAACATTCACAGCACATATCGTAGGTATCGAAGATGGTTGTGAGAGATGATCATTATTCTGTCAAAGCATACGTTGCACCTCAGAATTACTTAGACAGTGACGCCATGGAATGCAAACAGTTTAATAGGGACACTGGTGATTTAACAAACAGTCACTACTAAGATGGACCAGGCCTCTCAGGCATTGAGCCGGATTGCGTGGTTTGAAGCACTTTTAGTCCGACCTTTGCGACGCCTCCATGGCAGCTAATTAACAACTCTTAGTAATGCAGTTGGACTAAAACTTTTAAAGACAGTGGACAGTTGACGTAAATAAAAATACTAAAGAACTCAAGGATTAAAAATACAAAACGAGACAGTATATCAGAACAACAATATAATATAATAACAGTATAAATAAAAATATAATGACGATTAGATGACTGGTTGCATCACTAATAAGTAGCAGGTTCGGTAGTTGGCAAAAACGTAGAGATGAGTTGCTCTTCCCATTGGATTAACATTTTGTACTTTATCTGAAGTCCTGGACACCCAGATAGAAGGTGATGACTGTTTTAGGGGACCACTTCTCCAGCCTTTCATTTAAAATTTGATGCAGAAAGCAGCAAAGCAATTTTAGGAGCTATAGTTGCGGGCAACCAAAACAGGTCCATACACTATTTGTCCCTTACAGACTCTAGAATTCATCTGCGCCATTGATTTGAGACCAGAGTTTCCAACTCATTTAGGTGAATTGTCCACATACATAGTAATGTCATAAGCATCAATTGTAGCTCATATCTTAGTGTTTACATGGAGTGCTCATTTTAGAAGTATATTAAATTAATTTATTTCTGGTTTTGCGTCTCACACTTTTGTTTCCTTTAACTTGCTGATATTAATCACTTTTTGTTTGATAGGATGGATAACAGTGACCTTAGTTTCACACGTTCGTAAACACAGTAAGGACACCTGTAAAAAATATTATATTTGTAATATCTCAGCGATATTGAAATGAGTAATTCCAACGTTTCGTTCGGCAATCTGGTCCGAACTTCTTCAGGGAAATTAATCAAAATTAACATAACAGAGGTTTATATATAAAAGGAACATCTTTTGTTTTTAAAAACTTTGTCCAATCATGATTCATAAACACAAGTATTAACAAGTATAATAAACAAAATTGTATGAGCTGTGATCAAAATTTGACCTCGAACTTACAAATATTGGTCTACCTTTGTTAAACACTTTAAACAGAGTGTGCATGCGTGTGTGTGTAAACAGTTGTAAAACATTTCTTAACGTCTCCATAGGAAGATATAGACAGTCAGGAATTTGACCAAGTATTATTAATTAGTGATACATATCCATTTTTATTTATTAATCAGGATTTCCTATGCATCAGCTAACATCACACCTTCATGTCTGTTCACACTGTAGTATCTAGAGTTTTATGATTAGACGTATTTTCAAGATTATGGTGTTTAGGATTGGAGTTTAGTAGAAGCGTCCGTAGCTGTCGAGTCACCTGACAACTCCAGTAAGTCGAATAAAGCAGCTCAATATTCAGAAAGAAGACAATTCAATAAGTTCGACAGGGTGCTTAAACTAAACTCTAATCCTAAACACCATAATTTTGAAAATACATCTAATAATAAAATTCTAGATACTAGCAGTTTGAACGGGCATGAAGGTTTGATGTTAGCTGATGCATAGGAAATCCTGATTAATAAATAAAAATGGATATGTATCACTAATTAATAATACTTGGTCAAATTCCTGACTGTCTATATCTTCCTATGGAGACGTTAAGAAATGTTTTACAACTGTTTACACACACACGCATGCACACTCTGTTTAAAGTGTTTAACAAAGGTAGACCAATATTTGTAAGTTCGAGGTCAAATTTTGATCACAGCTCATACAATTTTGTTTATTATACTTGTTAATACTTGTGTTTATGAATCATGATTGGACAAAGTTTTTAAAAACAAAAGATGTTCCTTTTATATATAAACCTCTGTTATGTTAATTTTGATTAATTTCCCTGAAGAAGTTCGGACCAGATTGCCGAACGAAACGTTGGAATTACTCATTTCAATATCGCTGAGATATTACAAATATAATTTTTTACAGTAAAGACACCGTTTACTTTTCCTAGGAAATCGCCAACCGACCACCGATTTCCGGTACCTGTCGTTTTCAAAGTATTTGTGTAATTCTGATTTTAAAAATCGTATAAACTAATTTGTTTTTATTCATTTCGGGGGGAAATTTCATTTTCTTTTTAGGCAATGGAAATAACCAAGTGCATGATTAAAATGCAGCATCGTGAACGTATTGAATATGTGATTAATACTGAGTGTAGGAAATTATTAGAATGTTGGTGTACACCAGAATTTCGCTACACGGCTATGGAGTTTATTCTTAACGAGATGGATGATTTTGTATAGATATATTTTCAAGAGACAACAACGACATTTGCACTCAGAAAACTTTATGTACCTACTTACTGATTAACTGGTTTATTGGAAAACATCGGTACTGTTGCACAAATGCATATATATATTTTTTTAGTGTTATTCTACAGCGTAGATGTGATGTCTGTTGATAAGATCGGTGTTGATGCATTTTGTATCTTTTGCATTGTACTTAAGTCATGTCATTGAACTATACTGATCCATATCCAATGTGAAGGTGATCTCCATGTATATGTACAGGTTGTTAGTATTCTTTATTTCCCTTCAAAATGTATTTTTTATTCCTGTTTCTTATTATTTTACCTAATATAATATCCATTGGATCTTTTATTCCACTGGTGACTTGTATCTTTAACATACCTTAGTTCGTGCAACTAATATGTAATGCGCATATGTTTTCTTCTGTTTTCACTTTTATTTACTTTTTTCTCTGTCTAAATATACAAATGGATTCTACTGTTGAAATATGCTGACAGTAGTACCGGCAATGATACTCTTAGATGACAAATTGTAGATTTACTTTTTATGAACCTACTTCAATTGCAATTATATGCCTGTGTTACCAGTCATAATTTTTTTTCAATAATTTTGAATACTCAGATTTTAACACCCTATTCAACCGACAATCTATGAAATCTAATTTTTTTCAAATGAAACATGAAGTGTGCAGGTTAATGTCAACTGGTTCAACATTTACTGCTTTTATAAATATGTGGGTAAACTATGCATTAATTTACTCCGGTATTTTATTTATTTATATTTCCTGTTTACCAAAGTGTTTGTTTTACATTTTTACCCTGAAGTTTGTGCTTTTCTCAGTTGTACAACTTTTTATTCTCAAAGATAGTTGGAAAGTTGTTTCCGTTAGTTACTTTCTGTGGTCATTAGGGGACACCAACAAGGAATGTTTACTTCAGTGCAATACTTTAAAGGGTAATGATACATCGAAAATGTTATTGCTGCATAAGTTAATCATATTACAGTAACACTGCGTTGTTTGTGACGGCTTAAACTCTACATCTCCTATGGAGGTAAGTATGGTCAAATGTCTATTAGTAATCGTCATGCGTTGTACATGTTTTACGCTTCATAGTGAAGCATGGTTTTCTATGTTTAAATCATTTCTGTTTCACTAGCGAGCACTGTTGATTGGTTAACCGGGGTATTTCCCATCTAGTCATATCAGTCGTGTATCATCCATGTGTTTTAGCTCAGAATGTTCTTACATGCAAAATGCTCCCACCAATAGCTACTACCTTGAGGTGGTGGTCGAGCTTGCATATCTCCGTGACTCAGCGAGCTTTACTGGCTGTAATTAGTGTTTCCAAAGGTCCTATCATACTAGGAAGGTCGTTTGGTTAGCGTTTAAACTAAAAGCAGGCTGTGGGCATTGTCATGCTTTTAGTGAATAAGATAGCCACCATATATATGCTATCTCTCTTCTCTGGAGACGAGGGGTAAGGAAACGTTGACCCCTAAGGTCGTACATCCCAATCTGTCGCTGGGTATACGATCTTAATGTCGGCGTAACTGCAAAACCACTTCAAAGACGTTATGCATGACTAGGCCCAAGCAGTTATCCCCTGGGCTCTGACGTCATGCAACACTAGTGCTTTTTCTGTTTCAAGTGCGCGAGGAAGAAATCACCTTCCATAATGTTACTGGCTGGGAGGTATTTGATAGGATCCCGCACAAAGTAGTATGTCATTATCTCTCACGCATGTTGTGATTAATTATGCGATCAATCATTTTTCACGGCTGTGAGGGCATCTGTATTGTTGCAAAAATGTATAAATACCATGTGTTGTTTTCATAATGGTTTTTATTGTGATTACAGTATACAGTCATAAGCCAGCCTTTGTCTTTTGATATTTGCGTGGCTCAGTGAATCGGAAGGTACCACAGTCAGATAGACATATTAGTCAGGCATAGACAGAACAAAGTGACTACGGTCCTCATTTAATTCAGTATCAATTGTAACAGTATTGATTACCCACACAATTCCGTAAGAATAAAGCTTTCCGGACCATTTTCCAACTTCACATTCACTACTTTCATCATCTTACCTTACTCCTACTTTTAATACTATCCTACAGGCATTTCTTTCACCTCTTAACTCTACGATCACTAATAGAGACGACAGTCGGAAGAACTACTTCTGTTCTCACTGTAATGTAGCCTGTTTACTGCCTTCACGTGGTGGGGTGTTCCTCATAAAACGTCCGTCACTTACAATCAGATCGGTGAACGTGTCAATTTACCTAGGGGAGCTAGCGAACCCTAACCCCAAAAGTTTGGCGTATATAGACTCCAGAATCCTAAAGGTGCATGAAATTGTTTTGGCCACTGGCGACAATGGAAACCCTACTCCCCTTCCTGTTGGTTCGGACTTCAAATCAAAGTCTGAAGATGCTTCGGTCTAGGCGTCCGAGCAGTATCCCAGCCCTCACAGAAACTGAGATTTTGTGTGGAGCATATCTTGTTGCATAAAATGTTCCAGGATGATCTCTTAAAACCACATTACTGACTTCGTGTTAGGGTATTTAACGTCAGAACCCTTTGCCGATTGGACAACAGACTTCACAAACCAGAACCCTGCAATATCGAGCTATGGACATATGTTATGTTTCGGGGACACGCTAACAGGACCCGTGTGGTTATTCTCATAACCCCACCTGGCCAACAGGGTGTCAGGAGTTTTTTGGCAAGTTCGCAGTCACTTGCAGGTGTAGGGATAGCTTTGATTGTTGGAGAAGAGAAATCACCATTTGAATAGTCGTGTATCCTACTGAACAGATCTCTTAGATTGTGATACCCGCTGATGTTCTCGCATAATCTCCGCTTTTGTCCCAACAGACTGTAGTTCTGACAAAGTGAAGGATGAGTTCTATCAAAAACTGTCCAGTTTACTGCTTAAGGCAAAACTTCCAGGTATAGTCGTTTTAGCAGGTGATTTCAATGATAAAGTGGGGAAGTTATGCTAGTCAGACAAGTATTTTAGCAGCACCTATGAAGTCTCATGCAAACAAACCTATAACAGCGATCGTCTTCTACTATTCTGTCCAATTATCTCTTCCCGATCAGCACCAACTTAAAAAAGTAAAGAGAGACATCACCTAATCTGGTCGCATCCATAATCAAACCAACGACGGACCCAAATAGATCACATAGTAGTAAGCCATCGTTGCTGAGAGTCGGTAGAAGATTGCCAATCTTTCTCGAACACTTACGTAGAATCTGATCACTTCCTAATCCGTGCACTTATATGCCTACGGTTGGATTGACATAGAAAACAGTCAGCAATCAAGCTGTTTTGCTCCGGACTTGATGAGAACATTAATTCCATATTCAAGGGAAAGATAGGCTAACCCGTATCTGAGATTGGCAGCAAGGTTCATGCTAAAGAACACTGTCATTATATTCAGTCAGCTGTAAAAACATCAGCAAAGGCTCTTGATAACCAAAAACGAAAGGTAAGTAAGTGTCAATGGATTTCTATCGCTTCATCCAAATCGATCCTTCCAAGAAGGCTGATTCCCGTGGACTCCAAACATGATGAGGAGCGAAAGCTGCTCAAACATAAGCTAACCCAAAGTTTCCTCAGTGACTGTGGACACCGCTTGATGACAAAAGTGAAAGAGACGGAAAAGGCATCGGGGATAGGCAACACTGGACAACTGGTTAGGCTCATTAGGGAGAAATATATACGAAAAAAGTGGTACCTTAATCAGCTGCCAGGATAGACAATTGGAACGCTGGGGGAAAACTTTTGAAGAGCGGTTTAGCTGGCCTATAGCCATGCTCAACTTAAACAGCATCCAACCCATCCTTGTGTGGGATATTGACACCAGCTTCATAACTGTAGCTGAGATTAAAATGTCTGCCTCTAATCTTTGATGACCGAGAGGTGCTCTGGCATTGTTTGGCTGCCAAGGGAGTGTCTAGGAGGTATATCGCACTAATCAAAACACTACTTGGACTCACAAAGCCGTATAAGAGCCCACCCTGACCGATAGCTGCTACCTTGATGTGGTGGTCGGGCTTGCATATAACAATGACCCAAAAAGCCACACTGTCTGGGACTAATGCTCCTGCAGATCCTACTATGCAGGAAGAGTGTTGGGATAATGATTAAACTAAAAGCAGTTACCAGAATACTGTAAGATTGCATTTGCACCATGCTGGGGTCTGTGGGCGAAGTCGTACTGCTAGGGAACAGGGATATAACAGCAGTAAGATGGTCCGCTCAGATGACCAACATGCCAGCCATGCTGGTGTGCAAGGCCATAAAAATCGCTCCTCGACTAAATCTCAGTAGATGGTTGTATGTCTGGGGTGCGTTAGGAGAAGGAAGGACAGCGTTACGCGTCATTGTCTTTTCGTAGTCTCCGCATACGCCCCAACCGACTGCAGTTCGGATGAACTAAAAGGGTGATTTCTACTAGAAATTGTCTATTTTGCTGTGAAAAGCAAAACGTTCAGAAATAGTTGTTTTAGCAGGCAACTTCAAAACCCGAGTAGGGAAATTGTGCCAGACTGAGAAGTGCATAGGGTGTATTTACGGAGTTCTCTTCCGACGAACCGACAACGGTGATCGTCTTCTACAGTTCTGCTCAGATAATCATTTGTTCCTAGTCAGCACTAACTTTAGGCACAAAGAGAGACAATGTGTAACCTGGCGACCTCCATCACTAAATCAACGTTGGACTCAGATAGACCACATAGCGATAGGGTATCGTTTGTGAGGGTCAGTAGAAGACTGCCGCTCTTTCTGGAACACGTGCGTAGACTCCAATCACGCCCTGGTTCGCACACGTTTATGCTTACGACTAAGCGGACATAGAAATCGTAATCAATGGCGATAACACATTCACTCCTTGTGATATGACATATCCATTAAACTATATTACTTTCCCATGTTAGTATTCTTTCTCATAAATTTCTGTTCACAATACTTCTTTTGAGTCTCGTTT